CTTTCCCTTCCCATCTCCTCTTTCTGTATCTCTGACCCCTTGCTCCATTCATTTGCAGAAGTGGGTCGCGCCCACGAAAGCTCTTGATACCATCTACATTTTTGGTTAGTCTTTAAGGTGCTGCTGGAATATTTGTTGTTTTTTCTGTTTTTTTTTTCTCAGCTATAGACTAACACAGCTTCCCTCTGACACTTTACAATAATTAGCTCATGGTACAGACAATATTTGGAAAGATCATTAAGTGGTCCACCAAGACCCTCAGCAATTTTCAAGTGGTCTGTGAAAAACAATCAAAGTACCTCCCTTTATTTTCATGTATTTCTCATTACTTATAATAGAGGAGGATGAAGAAAAAAGAATGAAAAGTGGGAGTGGCAGGAAGAGGGATTTTTTTTCTTGTTTGGGTCCCCAGTGGGGCCCCAAAAATGAAGCTGAGCATGGGAACCCACTAACTCTAAATCCACTGATGAATATTGGACACTAAAGCTGCATCTAGACTGGCAAGTTTTTCCACAAAAGCGGCTGCTTTTCCGGAAAAACTTGCCAGCTGTCTACACTGGCCACTTGAATTTGCGCAAGAACACTGACGATCTAATGTAAGATTGTCAGTGTTCTTCTGCAAATACTATGCTGCTCCCATTCGGGAAAAAGCCCTCTTGCGCAAGAGGGCCAGTTTAGACAGCTAAAAACTGTTTTGTGCAAAAAAGCCCCGATGGCAAAAATGGCGATCTGGGCTTTCTTGCACAAAACCGCGTCTAGATTGGTACGGACGCTTTTCCGCAAAAAGTGCTTTTGTGCAAAAGCGTCCGTGCCAATCTAGATGCTCTTTTCCGCAAATGCTTTTAGCGGAAAAACTTTTCCATTAAAACCATTTGCGGAAAATCATGCCAGTCTAGACCTAGCCTAAGGGTACTTCTAGATTGCAGTGCTATTTCTGGATACCACAGGTATCCCCTGCATCCAAGGATATTGTGAAATAATTTTCAAAATAATGGATGCGCTATTTTGCCATCCCTGTAAATCTCATTGCATGAGGGATAAAGGATGGCTCAAATTAGCACTTTATTTCAAAATTTGGCATTGTGTAGATGCACCAAATTTTAAAATAGCCTACTTTGAAATAAAATCCAAATAAGATTGCATAGCACAAACTGTGTAGCTTATCTTATTTTGATTTTAGAGTGCACTTTAGATGTACCCTTACAGTCCGTTCTACTAGCCTCATTTAGCACAGATACTTTAATTAACAGGTTTTTACTCCTCCCCCTCTCCCCTCTTTTTCTGCTTTATTGTGCCTTTTGCTTCCTATTTGCCATCTGAAGAGGTGGTTTGTCCAAAACAAGCCTATGATACTTTCTATATGATACTATCTATACATTTCTGGTGAGTCTCTAATAGCAGGTCTAGTAACATGCTAATGGGAACTGAGAGGGGCACTCCGGTTGATGCCGAAAGTCCTGCTTCCATGAGTAGTAGGGGAAATGGAAGGGAGAGTGTTCTCCCTTCAACTTCCTGCAGCGTGGACAGCACCAAAAGCCACCTTAAGGTACTTTGACTGCAGCTACTCAATGAACATAGCTGAAGTTTTGTAGCTTAATTCAACCTTGTTATGTAGTGTAGACATGCCCCAAAGTGCTACAAAACCATTGTTGTTTTTTATTTCTGAAATAAGAACAGTTTCAGGGTAAGTTGGCACTGAGCTTTTAGTGTTGGAACTAGCTCTGCATTTTGTGTTATTTTAAATTTGCTATTTACTTTGCTCTGCCTGTTCTCACGATCAGCTGCTTCAGTCCTACTGTGTGTGCCTAATAAAATCACTTCTACTTACTATGAGGCCCAGTGTCAATAATTATTACCTGGGGAGTAATCAGTGTGCACATCCTTCTTTCACTGTTGTGGGGGGCTTGTCTGAATGGTGTATTTGGGGTTGTGATCCCAGTTGGGGGTGGGTTTCCCAGGTGCTGGGCCTGAAACTGTCTTCTCCTCAGATCTGAATGGATTCAGTACCTATATTGCCCTTGGTGGGGCAGGCAGTGATCTCAGTTCGGTGCCTTGCTGGGGGACACCAGGCAGCTGGCTCTGTAGGACAGGGTGGTGCGGAGTCCCAGAGAGCAATGAGGCGAGTGTCCGTGGCTTTGTCAGCACCCCAGGAATCACCCCAAAGGGTCTTTTGTGACTGCGCTCTGTCACATGGCGTGTGGGGGATGGGTAGGATTGTTACTTTCACTTCTGTCTATGGAGTTTTACGATGGTTAAAACAACAATCTTCTCTCCAGCTCTTATCTGCTGTGTGAAGGAGCTGGACTGTGACCTTTAAACTGTAAAGTTGTACAACTGAGGACCCTGGCTATAAAATCCCCTTTCGTCTTGAAGTAGTGACAGAACCTGCTGAAACATTCATCTGGCTCGTTCTGCTGAAATATCCTAGGAAAACTCAGAGATCAGGACCTCAAGCCAGGCACAGAGACTTTGAGTCATTTCTGCGAGGACGGGGAAGCCGTGTGTGTGGTTTGCTGGAGACCACCGAGCACAGATCCCACCCGGTGCTGCTCCTGGACAAGGCTGCCCAGTCACACAAGGTAGGACTCACTCTGGATGCGGGTTAATTCCAACCTTCCCTGTTCACACTCCGCCTCTCCATGCCCCGGAATCTCCCCATTTCACAGATTCTCTCCCCTGCTCCCTGGCTCCAAACAAGTCTCTGTCCTGCAGGCGCCTTCCTCTAGGTAGGTGCAGGGAGCCCTGGTTCTGCTGCTGCCCGGCTGGCCATCCCCACACTGCTCACTAGGCAGAGCCGGGCTCTCCAGCGCTCCAGGAGGCATGTTCCTCGCACCCGGCACTGAAGGACACCGTGTCCCTGCTGCTGCCTGGACAGGATTGGAGGGAACAAGCTGCTCCCAGCACACCCCTAGTTATTGCCAACTGGGGGCTCCCTAATCATGAGCAAAGCAGCCCCTGCTCTGCTCTGTGGGGACACACGGGCATGGGACAGAGAGGCCCAAGGGGTCCTGGCCTCCCATGCTTCATCCCAGGCTTGGTCCCCTGAGCAAAGCAGCCCCCACTCTGCTCTGTGGGACACACAAGGGCACAGGACAAAGAGGTCCAAGGAGTCCCGGCATCCCGCGCTTCATCCCAGGCTTGGCCCCCTGACCAGGCTGGTAGCTGCAGCCCAGCCCAGCAAACCCAGGGACCTGGGGCACCGGTGGGGAGCTGCAGATGCTGCACCTGCCTAGGGTGGGTCCCTGAGAGCTGCCCCCTGCCTCTGTCCCCACCCCTTGGACTCTCTGCCTACAGCTCCAGCTTCCAGCCTGGCCTGGGGGCCACACAGCCTCAGCCAGGCCATGCTCAGGGGGGAGCTGGAGTCTCGGTCTAGTCCCTAGTGGGGAGTGAATTGGCTGTGGAGACTCTATTCCCCTTTCGTCTCTCCAGGCCAGAGGGGAGTGAATTGGCCATGGAGACTCAATTCCCCTTTCATCTCTCCAGGCCAGAGCTGAAAAATATGAACAGGAGTTTTGAGGGGAATGTTTCGGGGGCTTGGGAGAACTGGAGGGATTCGAACTCCAGCCCCATCAGGGTCAGCGACTCACTGGCCAGAGCTGGAGAACTGAGTCACTCGGTGCAGTGTCACTATGTGACGTTTTCTCTCTCCAGGTGCGAAAAGGGGACGTTGCATCCGCCGGAGGAGATTTCTCCTGAACTGGATTTGAGACAGTGACTTTGCCAGGAAACTGTTGCTCCCATGGAGACTCCAAGGGAGGGCAAAGGTACCTAGAAGGGATCTAGGAGGGGAAACTGGGAGGAGCCTCTGAGGCTGTGGGAAGGAGAGGTCAAAGGTACTGAGAAGGGATCTAGGAGGGGAAACCAGGAGGAGCCTCTGAGGCTGTGGGAGGGGGAAAGGACAGATCGGTTGAATGAAAGATGGAAAGGGGAGAAACGGAACAGGTGTAACGAGGCACAGGTGTGCGGACGCCTCCTGTTAATTCACGACTCACTGTGATTGACTGAAAGATGGAAAGGGGAGAAATGGAGCAGGTGTAACGAGGCACAGGTGTGAGGATGCCACCTGTTAATTCACTGAAGGTCACAACGCTCAGGCCCAAATCTAGCAGAATGGCCTAATGTTTGGTCTCTTCTAACCTGGGAAGTGAGTGGGCCAGAGAAACAGGGGTGCTCCTCTTGCTGGCTCTCAGGACTCCCCCAGCCTGGGCCAAGGTCTGCACGGGGCTCACGGCCACGGACTGGGGAAGTCTCGGTCCCTTGTAGCTCTTGGCCCACCAGGGTGAATCTGGCTCATTGAGCTGACTGTCTCCCAGCTCCAGTCTCCACACTGTACAAGGACTGTATTCCCAGGCGTGTCGGTCTGTGGAGGCTGAGAGCCCCACTGTGCCCATCGTGGAAACACTGTGTACAATTGTGAGCCTTAACCCAGCAAATCTTACCATCCCATTAATGTCAAAGTTACCGAAGTGTGTAAAGTTGCATTCACGCTAAATGCGGGATTTGGGTCTAGGACGGGATGGGCAAGAATTATTGATCTTGGGCCACTCCAAGATTCTGGTCAGTGGCCAATGGCCAATGGCCACAGGTTTCTATGGAGTTTTCTAAGGGGTTTGGTGCCTGGGAAGCCAGGTGGGTGCAGAAGGGAGTTTGGGATGGAGGACTGGGGTGCAGGAGAAGGTGCGAGTTCTGAAAGGGAGTTTGGGTGAAGGAGGAGGCTGAGATCTGGGGCAGGAGATTGGAGTGCAGGGTCCTGGAGGGGCTATGGGTGCAGAAGAGGATTCTGGCCTGGAGGAAGAGTGCAGGAGGAGGTACAGGGTATTGGAGGGAGTTGTGACTTGGAGAGGAAGGGTGCAGAGGGTTTGTGTGGTGACCTGGGGCAAGAGGGGATTGAAATCTGGGGCAGTCTTTTGGAGGAGGTGATCCCAGAGGCAGGCTCTGACTGGGAGATGCTTAACTATGCAGCTCTCAGCCAGCAGACTCATGGGGCCCCAAAGCAGGCTCCCTGCAGGTCGCAGCCCCAGACTTCTCAAAACTGTTGGCTGCTCCCTTCGGCTATGTTTACACTGGTGGGTTCTTGCGCAGGAACACGTCCACACATCCACACGTCTGCACGTGCTTTTGTGCAAGAGCATGCATGGCAGTGTGTCCGCTCTCCTGCGCAGGAAAGCTCTGATGGCCATTTTAGCCATAGGGCTTTCTTGGGCAAGATACCCCTGTTGCTGTCCACACTGCCCTCTTGCACAAGAGAGCTTACACCTGTCAGAAAAGAGTGTAGCTCTTGCGCAAGAAGCCCTCTCTTCCCACGCCGTACTGTAAATCTTTTTGCTCAAGAGCGGGAGGGCAGCATGGACGCTCTGCGGGTTCTTGCACAATAACCCGCCTGTGTAAACATAGCCTTCATGTGGCTCTTCTCTGAATGCTGGGGGAGGGAGAAGCTCTGTGCACTGCCCCCACCATCAGCCCAATTCCTCAGCTCCCATTGGTCAGTTGTTTCCAGTGAGTCTTTGTGCCTCTCTGCCTGATTTTTTGTCAAAACTCAAGCCAGGCTAGGTCAGATCAGAGTTATAAATCTGAAAGCAGAAAACCTCCTCTCTTCTCCTTTCCCCTCCAGACACTCTGCGCTGTGCACTGGAGACACAGAGAAGAAAATCCCTAAGCGCATACACACCAGGTGAGTTTGCAGGTGGAGAGTGTTTTTGAACGATGACAGATTTCTCAGGAAACATTGTTATGAGTTTCTAGCTCAAGTGAAAATCAATTTGACTCTGACCAGTTTGCATGCCCATCTCTAGCTCACGTGAAAAATCAATTTGACTCTGACCAGTTTGCATGCCCATCTAAAAGTGAAATCATTAAATACTGAGAAGATCCCATGTGAAGTCAAACAAATGACTCTGACACCAAGCTGGGTGCTGAGTTCATGCCCACGCTGCTAAACAGAAACCTCTCCCTCAGCAGCACCCAAAACCCCTAACTCTGACCCTGAGGTTTTGATAGACAGTCACAAGCCTTTTAAGGAAGAACGAGTCAAGAGCTCTCTGCCCTCTGGGCTGACTCCCCCTCTCCTTTACCCTGACACAGGGGTCTCCCCCATCCTCATAATCCAACATCCCGCCTTTGCTTTGGACAGGCTGGGCTCTCCCATTGGAGTGGCTCACTGCTTCTGGATTAGGGGGGACACGCTCTCTCTCTGAGGTTGCCCCCCTCTTTCTGGGCTGGGAATGGGCTGCCCCACCCAATCCTGTCCCTTCCTCTCAGCCCCTTCACCTGGCACTGGAGGATGTTCATTGCCAGCAGCGAGATACAGCCAGGAAACTTTCAGTGAGGGGGGAGCAGAAGAGGCAGCGTAACAGGGGGGCACTCACCACTCATGAGCGCCTCCGTCTGGCCCAGTGCGTGTGCCTGCGCTGTCACTTTAAAAAGCCTTTTCAGCTACTCAGCCAAAGTCACATTGTGTGAATCACACCCTCTCGGGGTACACACCTAACAGGGGCCTGTGGCAGAGCCCTCTGTTAGTGTCCCTCTTCTCTCTCACTTCGTTCACCTCTCCTCCCCAGATAGAGAGTGGGGCCTCTAGGGCTTCCCCTCCTGGGTGCAGTGTCCTCGCCCTTTCCTCAGGGCTCTGTCTCACCTCATCCTGGTCTCTAGTCAGCTCTGAGAGCTCTCCATGGTGCTGCTCCCTTAGCCAGTCATCCGGACTTCCCAGGCTTAGGGCGCCAGAGACACTGATCTGTCTCTGGTCCTGGAGCTTCTTCTTAAAGGCCTTCCTGGCCCCTGATTGGCTGGTTTCTCTGCAGCCAGGCTAGCCCCCTTGGAGGTATTCTCTATTGGCTACATCCACACTGGCATGATCTTGCGCAAAAACTCTTTGGCGGAAGAGTTCTTGTGCAAAAACTCTTCCAGAAGAGAGTGTCTACATGGGTATGTGCTTTTGGGCAAAAGATGTGCTTTTGTGCAAGGCCATCCATGCCAGTGTAGATGCTCTCTTGCACAAGAAAACTCTGATGGCCATTTTAACCATAGGGCTTTCTTGCGCAAGAAATTCCTGTTGCCTGTCTACACTGGCCTTTTGCGCAAGAAGAGTTGTGCAAGAGGGCTCATTCCTGAGTGGAAGCATCATAGTTCTTGCGCAAGAAGCCCTGATTTTAGACAGTAGAACGCCAGTTTACTTGCGCAACAACACATGGCCCGTGTAGACAGTCAGCACATTTTTGTGCAAGAGCGGCTGCTTTGGCACAAGATCATGCCAGTGTAGACACAGTCTATGGCCCTTGTCTAGACTCACAGCCTGGTCCACCCTGTCTCAAGCAGGTACCAATTTAAATCCCTGAGGGAAACTCCCTCCTCACTAAGGCTATGTCTACAGTGGCGCAATCTTGCACCAGAAATATGCAAATGAGGCTAAGCATAGAATATCGCCGAGCCTCATTTGCATATCTAATGAGCCACCATTTTTGTGGAAGAGGCTCTTGTGCTAGAAGGAGCATCTACACAGCCCCTTCTTGTGCAAGAAAAACCCTCTTGCACAATGCCGTTATTCCTGAAAATAATCGGCGTAACAGCATTGCGCAAGAGGGTTTTCGTTGTGCTAGAAAGGGCAGTGTAGACAGCTCCTTCTGGTGCAAGAGCTTCTTCCGCAAATATGGTGGCTATGCAAATGAGGCTCGGCAATATTCCACATTTAGCCTCATTTGCATATTACTCATGCAAGAAGCTCCCTTCAAAACACCTCACACCGGTGAGTGAGGGTGACTGTGGATAAACCCAGCTGTGCTGTAGAGCAGCCCGTGGCGATATTCCACGCTTAACCTCATTGCAAGATTGCGTCAGTGTAGACATAGCATAAAACTTTTCTGACTGTGTCTCTGCTGCTGGGATGGATCAGCCCCAACAGGAGGAGCTGGGAGCTGAATCTCATGCAGGGTAATAAGAAACCAATGAAGCGGGTCCCATTGCCCAGGCTGAGGTGCTGCAGTGACAGCTCGGCTCAGTCTCAGGGCCGAGGGCAGAGGCAGCTCCCTGGGGCCCAGGCCTGTCCCTCCCCCAGCCACAACAGGGCTGCTGGGGAGGGTGAGAAATGGCCCCAGCTGCCCCCAGGGCTGAGCTCTGCCCCTCACGCCCTGATTCTCTCTCCCCAGCGACTGTGACTCTGGATCCAGAGAAAGCTCATTCCAGCCTCGTCCTGTCTGAGGATCGGAAACGTGTGAGACGGGCAGACACACGGCAGCGACGGCCCAGCACCCAGGAGAGATTTGACACTCAGGCCTGTGTGCTGGGCAGTGAGAGATTCACCTCGGGGAGACATTGCTGGGAGGTGGAGGTGGGGGATGGGCCATTCTGGGCTGTGGGGGTGGCCAGAGAGTGCATAAATAGGGAGGACAGGAACAGCTATAACTTTCATGAGAAGATCTGGGCTGTGGAGCGGTGGGGGGATCAGTTCTGGGCTCTCACTGACCCTTTGACCCCCCTGCCCCTGAGTCAGGTCCCCAGCAGGATCTGGGTTTGTCTGGACTGTGACCGGGGGCAGGTGGCATTTATTGATGCTGCCTATGAGGCCCCGATCTACACTTTCCCGGCAGGCTCTGTCTCTGCGCAGAGCATCCGACCCTGGTTCCGGGTAGGGCAGGGATCCCAGCTCAGCCTCTGTCCCTGAGATGGGGCAGGGGCAGGGAATATCCCACTGTGGACCCTGGAATCAGATTCTGTAGCCTCACACAAATAAGACTTTATGAGCTCCTCCTGTGGACTGTCTATCCAGTCATCTCGGGGACCCTGGAGGTTGCTGGAGGTCTCAGCTCTAGGCAGCCTCTGGCCTGTCCAGCCCCACAGAGCACTGAGTGTATTATTCTGGAATGAGAAGTCTGTCATTTTCAAACAATTTCTAAACAATGGGCTTGCTGTGTGGATGATCGCCTCGTTATTTCAAAAGAAAGTGAATTGTTTCCAAATAGTGATGTCGTGTAGACTTACTCACCGTGATCCTGGGCTCAGGACTGGCCCAAGGAGAAAAAATAACAGGAAGAGACTGGGTTAGCTGGAGTGGGGTGGGGGTTGGGGGTGGGTTAAGGTTGTTATTTTCACTTCTCATCTGAACTGGGTTGTGCCCATGAGAGCTCATAATACCCCATCTTAAATATTTGTGTCAGTGTCTAAGGTGCTGCAAGCCCACTCAATTACTTTCACTTCTGTCTATGGCAGTGTTTCTCAAACTGTGGGTCGCGACTCCTAGGGGATCACGAGCAACTTAGAGGGGGGTCGCAGCTGGATTCGGTTTTTCACTTGCGACCCCTCTCCCCAGGGCCACAAAGAGTGGCAGGGAGGCGGAAGGCAGCCGCTGGCAAGCTGCGCAGCATGGCCGGGGCCACAGGACTCCAGTAGCGTGGCTCAGCTGCAGGAGGAGGCAAGGCGGCGGGAGAGTGAGGCCGGCGCAGGAGCGGACATGCGAGGGGCCAGTCGGGGTATGGTTGCTGGGCAACTGAACACTTCCCCAGCTGGGAGAGAGCAGGGTCCCTCAGGCAGTAGACTGGGGGATTGGGTAGGGGATGCCCAGGGGTAAATAAGGGCACATGGGAGTCAGAGAAGGAGGTGGAGGAGAGGAGAGGAGAGGAGAAAGAAAGAAAGACCAAAGGGACAAGGAGTGTAAAAGAGGCACAGAGGAGAAACAGA